AGCGAGGAGTAATTGATAATGAGCGACACCTGCACCACTCACCGGTCTCGAGTCTCACGGAGGAGCTCCGGAAGGATAAAAGGGAGGAGTGACGACAGTGTCGGACGAGAGAGGACCAGGCCTGGCGTTTATTTTGTGTTTTGGTTTTGTTTGTGTGCGCCAGTCATCCGCGAGGGGCTGTCGCGCTATTTTGTGGTTATTTTATTATTAAAGTTTTATTTAAATGTTCACCGGTTCCCGCTTCCTTCCTCCCTCTTGAACCACTAATAATTGAATCTGCAATTAGGGAAAGTGGAGAGAAGAGATCCAGTCTGGGAATGATCAGGAACAGTTGATTTGCATGGCAGACATTGGAGATCCAGAGTTTTTGTTTTTAATATTCAACAGGCAAAGTTCTTCTGTATCTAAATGCAAAAATGTTCATAATTGTTTGAATAAAACAAACTACTAGGGAAAAAAATCTGAATATTCATCTTGTGACCACGTTGTGATTATTTTAACAAAAGCAACAATAATATAATAATTGTATATAGGTATATATTGTATAAATATATATATATAGGTCAGTGGCCCTCAGCTTAGTATTGTTGACAGAATTCGGCCCTCTGCGAAAACTAATTGAGGAACCCTGTCCTAGGGACTACTAAAAGTCCAGAGTTTTGAGAGCGTGATGGATTGTAGGGCATAATAACATCCAGGGGCGGATTTAGTGAATTGGGGGCCCCAGGCAAAATATAGGAATGGGGCCCTATACATTTTCACACATTTTCCTAGATCAACCTTGAGGTTCCTTTTTTGTTGTGATGCTTGCTGCTGCACAATGGTGCCCCATAGTTGTGTCCAATGTTTCTACATTTTCATGTACATGTTATAATGGATTTCTTTCATGTTGTAGGGGGGGACCAAATGATCAGTGAGAGCAGAACGAATGTGTCACACGTTTTAAACAAAAAAAAAATGGTAAAATACATATTTCAAGAGCATGCTCACAGATGAGAACAAAACAGCGTTGGATGAAGTGGATTAGAGCCCTGCACGGGTCTCAAATATAG